TTCATCACCTATAGGAAACCCATGTCTAACATTATGTTCAATGACAAAATAAATTAAAAAATAATAAAAGTAATCACTTTATTCATCTGAACTCAGAGCCACTACAGAACATAAAAACAACCACCATGTCATGTCTTCTAATGTGTAGCTTATTGTCATAGAGAGCACTGTTAACTTGGTTGCATACCTACATAACGAACCGACAGGTCGAGTTTACACTTTTTTCACTTTTGTCATCTTCCTAACCATTCAAACATTATTGATTTCAATGACATCTTCCATGTGAGAATTTTCTAACTCAGCACCATCATTCCATTACCCTATCGTCCCGCTGATCCCCTTAACAGACAAACATCAGTTGGTATATCTGCTAATAATTGGAATATCTTTGACTAAATTTGAACATACGTGTTTTCTTTAACATATTTGTTCTAGGGGTTTGGAGTGATAGTACAGTGGGGAGGGCCTTTGGCTTTCATGCAACCGACCCAGGTTCTATCTCTGGCAGCCCGTACGGACTCCTGAGCACACCAGGAGTACTTCCTGAGCACAGAGCTACGAGTAACCCCTGAGCACTGCCAAGTGTGACCCCAAACCAAAAATAATAAAATAATGTATTTGTTCTAGTGTGCCAGAGAGCTGGGATCCCCAACACTAAGATGTGACAGGTGCTCAGTAACTGTGTTAAATAAATATTCAATCCATATCATTCAATCCAATATATAATAACTTATATATTCAACCAAAATTTAATCAATATATAAAACATTTCAGGTTCCATATTGGACAAAAGTACAAAGAAAAATAAAGGTACAAAGAAAAATAAGCCACAGCCTTACCTTCAAGAGAATCTAAAATAACCAGAGAAATAGTGCAGAGGTTAAGCCATTCACCTTGAACAAGGCTGATCCTTGTTCTTTTCCTATAAACTCCTTCTTGTGCACATGCAGACAAGGTTGTTGCTTTTAGGCCACAGGTACAGTATCTTCCTATCTGTAGGCCTGTTGCTAAAAGGTCCTTTTACTCGACCCACTCAAAAAGATAGGTTTCGGGGTGGATACATTTTCACTAGAACAAATGGTTGGATGGGAGTAGGAAAGGGCAGGTTTTGGAAGGAATGCACACATTTTGGCTTGAGCATAAATTTGACCTATTTCCAAGAGAGCTATCAGCGAAAGCATCCAATGAGTGGCTTGTTCTGAGTTCAAAGAATAGTCTGATAGAGAAATTGAAAGCCACTGGATCCTCTGTTATTAATTTATAATATCAATTATTTATTTATTTATTTATTTGACATTTGGGGTCACATCTGGAAATGCTGAGCGGTTACTCTTGGTGGTTCTCGGGAGACCATATAGGATGTTGGAGATCCAATTCAGGTCAGCTGCGTGCCAATGCCCTACCCGGTGTACTACCACTCCAGCCCCACAAAAATGACTTAAAAGGTTGAGGGTAGAGACACAGCTCTAAATATGAGCACATGGTTTGAAAGCAGGAGGCCTGGGTTACATCCCAATATAGCATGGTCCCCTGAGCACTGAGAGGAATGATCATTGACTGCTGACCACTGAACCATGATTACCCTTTGAACACTTGCGGTAATGAACCAGAAAAACAATAAAGTTCTGAGACTTTCAAAAATAGCTGAGTGGAAACTTTTTAAAAAATCTCACATGATGGACAGCAAAGAGTAGAGAATCTAGAGAACAGTTATTTCAAGCTCTCAGTGGTTATTATGGCAGAGTCAGGCGAACTCCTGCTAAGATTATACACATAAGGTGAATAGATTTACCTGATAAAAATGTGATTTTAACTACTCCCTATTCATTCAAACCACATTTACTTGTATCTATCACATTTATGGATACTTGCTGTCTACTAAAGGCAAAGAATGGCTATTTCATTTAATTTTTACCATTAAAATAAGTCTAGGAAATTATTTTCTATGTATCATCTAATAAGCACTCCCTTTTAGTATTTTATAGAGTTAATTTCAACTGATGATTTGTCATTTGCTTTGTGAAGAACCAACTGAAACTTAACCTATAATAAGGGAAAAATACAGTAATACATTCAATACTCTACACACACACGTCTATGTGGGTATATGAATTTTGGTGCAAGGAACTGAACCCAGATCTTTTGCATGCAAGGTATATTATAGTTTACCATTAAGCCACATCACCAGCTTTGAGGTTATACTTTTATATTTATGCTCGCTTATATTTATATTTGTGCTCGCTTTGGCAGCACATATACTGTATAATATCTCCCATTTATATCTTTGACATATCCCTGGGTGAATTAGGAAATAAAGGTATCTTTACTATCTAGTTATCAGCTTCACTATCTAGTCATACCTTTCCTATCCAGTCACAGCTCAGTTTGGAGACGAGGCCTTTTAAGAGTGGTTATTAGTTATTTATGGGCTTCTCTTCTCATGGATGTCTTCATTTTAAAAGCTGAGTTCAAATGTTACCTCCATGGTGGGGGCAGTTTTGTTGCACCAATTATTATTTTGGGGGGTGTCACACCTGGCAGTGCTCAGGGGTTATTCCTGGCTCTGCACTCAGGAATTAGTCCTGGCAGTGCTCAGGGGACCATATGGGATGCCAGAGATTGAACCCAGCTTGGCTACATGCAAGGCAAAGGCCCTACCCGCTGTACTATTGCTCCAGTCCTGCATCAATTATTATTCTTCAGTTCTTCATTTCATTTAAGTAATGCCTTGGAAGCAAGCTCATTTTAGGCACTGGAAAGAGAAAGACAATCCTCAGCAAATGGCAGTTGGTTCTCCCATGAAACCACCAACGTTCATCAACTCATGTAAACAAGCACCTCTTGTTTAAGGGAAGCCTGGGTCTCATAAACAGTTTTTCAGGTATGTATGCAGATAGGTCACCCAATGACTATGTGATGTGAAAAATTCATGCCAGATTAGCAGCTCAGAAACTAGGAGGAAATGATTTGTACTGTACTACCTCCACCATCTCGCCAGAAATTCCGACTTTATCTTTATCCTTTCCCTCCGTTCATTCCACTCTATTTATGTTTTAGATTCCTCAAGGATGCCAAGTATGCTCTGTCATAGAGTCCTGCTTTTGTTGTTTGTTTTGGGGCCACATCTTGTGATGCTCTGGGGGTACGCCTGCCTCTGCACTCAGGAACCACCCCTCGCAGTGCTCAGGGGACCATATAGGATGCTGATGATAGAACCTGGGCTGGTCATGTGCAAGGCAAGTTCCTTACCCGATGTACTCTCTCTTCAGACCCAGCCCTGCATTTTCTATTCTCAATGACCTGATAGTACTTCACCCAGAAAGCCAAGGGTCGTACAGCTTTCCATTCAGATTTCTACTCAACTTCTTCATCAGTAAGTTTTTCTTGGACCAGTTGATAAAAGAGCACCCATTCCTCCTCTTCAACACTCCTCCCTTGGAGTCCTTTTTCTATTTACTCTTTGAAATTCTTTTTCTTTATTTTTTGCTTTTTTGGGTCACACCCGGTGTTGCACAGGGGTTGCTCCTGGCTCGTGCACTCAGGAACTACTCCTGACAGTGCTCAGGGAACCATATGGGATGCTGGGAATCAAACCGGAGTCAACCATATGCAAGGAAAACACCCAACCTGCTGTGCTATCACTCCAGCCTCACTCTTTGAAATTCTTATCCATATGTAATGTACTGCACACTGACAGGAGGAATTTTTTTTCTCAGTGCTGAATCTACCTAGCCCAGAAACTTCCTTACTCTTGCTAGACTCGGCAAAATTAGTTTTTTTGAATAAAGAAAAGGGAGGAGGTGAAATTTTATAAGGTTCACAAAATAGATAACACATTAGCGGACTTAAGACAGATGAAAGGTATTAAACAGATAAGGTGGACAGAATTTCCATAAAAGGGGTGTTCAAAGGCAATGCAAACTAAAACCACATAATTTACTTAACACAATCTGTGTACTAGAGGATAGGGAAACCGTAAGGCTCAATTATAGCAGAAATCTTCCATAGTAAAGAGTTAATTAACACACTTTAAAAAACAGAGAGTTATTTAAGGGCAGCGATCATGTTTTACTCTTTCTTTGCTTAGTTCTAAATAATCAGCAGTTATTATACATAAAATAATTGCAGATACTCGGCGATTTGTAAATGCATATTATTAGCCAGCAAGTAATCCCTTTGCTTTTTAAAACCTAAGGTGAATATTTTTTTCATTGAAAAGTTAGTACACTTTTAAAAAAAAAATTTAGATCCAAAGGGACCAAGAGATCATCAAATTCAGCTTTTCTACAACTTAACTGGGAAAACTGAACTATAGTGAGGTTGATTACCTGAGAATGGAACCAGATGGTTTGCAGTTAAGAACTAGAACAACTACTTTGACTCATTTTGTGCCATTTTCTTGAAAGAAGAGTTCTCAAAACTCATCTATTGAAATGATAACCACTCATACATTTTGATGTATCTTCGAGAAACCCTGGTCCAAATCTTGTACAAGAAATCCTTACAGTAAGAAGTTTAAATTAGAAAATAATTTTAAGTTTAATGTGAAAGCAATCTACGTACGTATAAATAGGAATATAACCACATTCATTTTGTGATCGCCAAATCATAGAATAGTATGAAGCACTTAAAAATGAACACAATTTGATGTGTACTAACATAGAACCTTTACCACACTGTTAAAAAAGGGGGCGGGGGGGGGCGGTGCAACGCGGTTAGCAGAATGACACACATAGGACGACTGTATCTTGAAACCGAGCAAGTCCGTTGCTAGGATCGTTGCCAAGGCCGGGGGCGGGGGCAGTGAGAGCTCCCTAATGTGGGCCAGGTGTGTCCAGGTGTGTCCATGGAAACCTCGCCCAGGGAACACGTGGCCAATCAGAGTGGGACTGGGAGGGCTGTGGGGGCGGCAGCCAGAGCAGAAAAAAGACAGCCTGCAGGCCCACTTCTTTTTTCCTCCCGGCTCTTGGACTTCCTCGCTCTCTCGGAATTTCCAGCACCAGGTAGGGCTCTGCGTCCCCAGGGCCTGGCATGGGCAGGTGGCTCGGGGCCAGCTCGGCCCGGTGGAGGTTCGGGTCAGGCCGGACTCCGGCGCCAGGGCAGCAATAAGGAGAGGGGTGCAGGGGGGCACTGTGGCTGCGGCTGGGGGCTCGGAGACTCTCGGTGCAGTGGGGGAGCTCCCAGCGACAGGCCCAGAGCACGGGGGTCGCGCGCAGGCGCTGGGAGACTGGGGGAAGGGCCCGGGGGACGGACAGCGAGGCGGGGGTGTAACGGGGGTCCGAGAGCCCCTCTGCCCACCCCCTTTATTCTATTGGCAAGTTGAGGTGTAGGCCTGCTTCCACTCCGAATCTTCCCCCCCTCCCCCGGCGGTGCCTGGGGACCGAGGGGGCGTCTGGCACCCCAACTGGGTCACCCACGTGGCAGGCTCAGCCCCGCCCACGGGGTCTCCATTGCAAGGGCCTGGGGGCGTAGAGACCAGGGTGCCTCCAGCGGGTGGGCCCTGTTCCCCCCCACCGCCCCCGCCTGGGGGCCTGGGGGCGTGGGGGCGTGGCCGCATCGTTGAGACGCCAGTGGGCGTGGCCTCACCTGGGCGCATCGTGGGGGCGTGGCCCCCGTGAGCCTCGTGCGGGTGTGACCCCGGCAGCCTGGGGGCATGGCCGGCCTCACCTCTGAAGCGCTGGGGGCGTGGCCTCACCCGTGCTCCTCCTGGGGGCGTGGCCTCCCCGTGAGCTGCCTAGGGGCGTGGTCCCCCATGAGCCTCCTCGTGGGGGCGTGGCCACCGTAAGCCTCGTGTGGGTGTGGCCTCACCCTTGAGCTGCTTGGGGGCATGGCCTCGCCCTTGAGCCGCCTGGGGGCGTGGCCACACCCTGCTCCTCCTGGGGGCGTGGCCTCCCCGTGAGCTGCCTAGGGGCGTGGTCCCCCATGAGCCTCCTCGTGGGGGCGTGGCCCCGTAAGCCTCGTGTGGGTGTGGCCTCACCCTTGAGCTGCTTGGGGGCATGGCCTCGCCCTTGAGCCGCCTGGGGGCGTGGCCTCACCCGTGCTCCTCCTGGGGGCGTGGCCTCACCTCTGAGCTGCGGGTGGGCGTGGCCTCCCCGGGAGCTGCCTGGGGCGCTCAGGGTGGAGTCTCTGCGCAAAGAGCAAATGGAGCAAAGAGCCGCACACCTGCGGGTTGCCCGAGGCTGCCCCGGGAGGCCCCGCCCCGTGGGTCTGTCCAGCGCCCCTCGGGTCAGTGTGTGTGGAGGGTGCCTGATCCTCGGGGGCGGGCAGGTCGTGGCTGGGCCTGGCCCTCGGGGACCGACGGGTCGTGGCTAGGCCAGGCGGGCGCCAGGCTCAGGGCTGGGGCAGGGTCCCCGCACACCCGCCCCCACCCGGTTCAGCGCCCAGGGAGGCCCGGTCCACCTTGCCACTGCCCGGAACTGCCCCTGCCTTTCATCGTTTTAAATCGAGCTCTTTTTTTGCTTTTCATTTTTACCTTTTGCATTGGATCACAGTGAGTTGTTGTTGTTGATGGTTGGATGCCAGCCCCGAGATCCGAGCATCCCCCCCCCCACCCCGGTCCCCTCTGCAGCTCACACTTCTCACCTCCGGCGTCCCCAGCTTCCCTCCCAGGGCCAGGGATGTCCTTGCGTGCCCCAGACACGGGCCTCACCTGACTCGGTGCGTGCTTCTTCACTAGGGTCCACTGGGAGCTGTGGACGGGCTCCAGAGGATGAGGCCGGAGCGCCTGGGCTTCCAGGTAGGACTCCTGCTGGCCTCTCACTCCCCTTTGGCGTGGTGACCAGGGTGACCCTGAGACCGTCACTGCCCTGCCCTAGCCTACGGGTCTCAGGGGAGCAGCTCTGAAAGACCGTGGACTGCAGAAGGGAGCACTCCTTCCCAGACTGCGTCCATTCTCATTTAATTCACAGTTGCAACCAATCGAAGGCATTGCAGTGAGGGTCAGTGGGAAGCAACAGGCTTAGCATGTGGCAGGCCAGGGACTGTAGCATTGCAGGTTCGCTCCCCCCATCTGAGACAGTGGCTCGCGCTCACTGTCAGGTGCAGGGTGGCATGTCCCATGTCCTCATACATCGCTCTGCCTCTGCACAGCGATCAATTCAGTCATAGGAGCATCCAGGTCTGAGAGCACTGGGTGACCACCCCCCCCCAAGAGGGCTCCAGGAGAAATCCAGAGAGATGGAGTGTGCTGGGCATCATGCCAGTGACCACTTGCAGACATCACTCTAGCCCTTACACACACGTGTGTCCTGACCATATCCATCCGTGGGTTTTCAGCCACCATTACAGGCCTGTTTCCTAGGTTTTCCTGGCAGCCTCCAGAACCCTGGCATGCATGCGTGGCTTGGTGCTCATCATGTCCCACCAGAGACCCACATGGCTGCTCCTGCCGCAACACTGTCAGCTTCCTGTTCCAGAGTGCCTGAGTGGAGGCGCTGTGCAGGTCAGTCATCGCCGATCACACACAACGCAGGTGTGTCACATGCTCATTTTCACATCACGTGGACAAGTTTTGTCCCCTTCAACTATGGTTAATCTTTTCTAGTTTTTACACTGGCTAAGTATGATTCAGGAATGAAGTGTCTCTTTATACAGCGAAATCTGTGTTGTGTACAGAACCTTGCTGCATGTCTTCTGTGTGTGTTCATTTACATCCTACAGCTGTTTCCTGGGCTGTTCATTGACATCACTATAGACCATGATAAGAGATTAGATTTTAAGAAATCCACCATTTGCATCAATAGGGCGTAACAGTTGCCGGGCTCTAGTTTTTTTCCCCTAAAGTCCTGGTACTCTGGGACCAGACCTACACATTACGGGGTGCTGGTTGTCTCATAGGCCTCCAGATCACCCAGTTTCATCCTTTATACATGTCCTCTGAATAGCACTGGGATTCAATTCCGAGCATATGCACAGGGTCAGGCATTGACCACCTGGGGTATGGTCCAGAAATGCCTCCTAAGGCAGGAGTGTGGGACCTCTGCTTCCCTCCAGGTGCCGCAGATGGGCCCATGGTAGCCCCAGGGCACTCTTGGCCACTGGAAGCACAGAGTGGGAAGGTCAGGAACCCCCAGGCTTGCACATGACCTTGCTGTGGTTGGGACCTACGTGCCAGAGACTTTGCTCTGGATCTTGGATGTGCAAGGGCTGTGCCCCCTTGCTGAAGTGTTTTCTTCTTTGCATTTTTACCCTTGATTTTAAATGAGTGAGAGTCCAGGCAGCACACACTGCAGCTTTTGGGAGGTTGGGACTTCATCCCTGCCACTGACTTCACAATCCCAAGCCCAGATCCAGGTGTTACCCCTGAGGGCTGGTGTGCTTTGAGTACAAAACCATGCTAGAGTAAATGGATTTATTTTCCTTTTGATTTTGTTAACAGTTTTTCCTCTTGTCCTGTAGAACTTCCGTGTAATTCTCACATTGCTGAGTGAGTTGTAGTGCAGATTCTGTAGATCCCACTTTCTCTGCCTGCCCAGGGTCTTGCGTTCACTCACCTTTGATCATTGATGCTGTGAATAGCCACGTACAGCTCTTTGCCCACAGTTGAGTTCTGCCCCTTGTCGAGCTCTTTAGACTCCTAGTGAAGTGATAGGAGGTAGAGGACCTGTCTGCACTTCCTTAAGCAGCATTGCCATTATTGCTTTGCCTGTTGCGTTTGCTTTGCATATTCTATTGCTGTATGATCTTATTTCAGGTGTTTTTTGGTGGGGCACAATGAGCTTGAGAGAACCAGGCACTGTTACCAGTGTGTGTCATTCACTGACTTTGAAATTGTCATGATACTCAGGTTGCTGTTGGGAAATGATGGGTATGACCTACGGTCCTTTTGTAGTATCCATTGTCTTGCTCAACTCTTTATTTGCATATAAAGCCACCGAGTGGTCCAGTCTGCTGCTGTGACGTACTATTACTGTACACTTTTAACCGTTGCAGCGTCCTTTTATCGTGAAGTTCACCTCATGACTCGCAGTTGTTCAGATTGTATTTCCGTTTAAAGCAGTAGCCCCGCACTTTAGCTGTGTGCGTTTCTGCTGTGACAGTGGTGTTTCTGCTATGTGCAGAAACCCTATGTCACTGCAAACTTTAATTCTCTGATTTTCCTCCTTCTGGTTTCAACATTCTTAAAACCTTCTGGCAACATACCTTAGTCTTGTCAAAGGACTGGAAGGTACTCCCCGTCTTTGGAAGTATTTTGGCTGATTATTACCCTGAGTAACAAATCCCCAGAACACACTCACCCTTGGAGTTTCACTCACTCTTGCACGTGTACTTGCTTATGTGTTTTCAAAAGGCCGACAGTGCTCTCTCTCTCTTGCCACCCACATTCAGTGGTCTCTGGCTGCTTCCCCCACCCCAGGGAGGCCTACAGTGATAGGTAGGTGAAGGAAGGAACGAGGGTCAGGCTGGTCGGTAACAATTGTAGTTTATTACAATCTTCACTCCCCTTCCGCTGCTCTCCCTCTCTCTCTCTCTCAAACCCGAGCCCCTCTCATCTCTGACTCTGCCCCCCTGGAGCCCGAGCCCCCTCCGATCTTACAGTCTTAGTTTATATAGCAATCACATAGGGTGGTGACACAAATGTGGGTTGAACATTAACAAATCAACAGAGAGAGGTAAGGCCACTCCTCCAGGAGATTAACTCAAGGATAAAATCTCATCTAAAATGATGACTCCAGATGACTAGGAGATCCACTTAAGGGTGGGATCCCAACAAGGATGTGTTCTTTCCTCAGTAATCCACTTAAATAGTTGTAGTAAATCTACTTTCAATATTTCAAGCAATGTCATTCTGGAGGAGCACAGTAAGAGATATAAACTTAAGGTTTGGTTCTTCCTGAGGACATCTCATGATATATTCTGTAATATATATTCAATATATAATATTGAATTATTAATATATAATAAATTATAACAATATATAATAATAAATTATAACAATATACAATATTGTTATATATAACATATATAACAATAAATTATAACATTATAAATATATAATAATAATATATAATATATAAATGTATATAAATAAAAACTACATAATATATAATAATATATTATCATAATATATAATAAGAATAAATATATAATAATATATTCAATATATAACAATAAATTCACTATATATTCAAAATATATATATTACAGTCCTCAGGCCAGGCTAGCCTTCCTAGCCCCAGCAGGGTCCTAGTCTTGCTGTTACTTACTTTTGGATCATGACAGCATTTGTCCATGGTCATGCCCTCAACTTATAGTTGAGTATCGTAGCGCTTTGGCCTGGCCCATTTCGATGCCAGGGTAGCTCACAGCTTGCCCTGAGTTCATTCAGTCCCTCGTTGGGACCCTGCTTTTGAGGTGCCAGGAACTAAGGGCAACAAAGTCAATAAAGCAGATGCCCAGGAGTAAATATTATTTGTAGTCAATCAACTCCCAAGTTACAAAAGCATAACATTAACTGTCTTCCCGTGTCCATACAGAAAGGACATTGCTTTGAGACTTAACTTACAAGTTCAGTGTTCTTAGAAGGATCTGATCTTATAAGCTAACAGAATCTGATTAGGGAGAAAAGCTGATTAGCCGATTGGGGAGGAGAGCACAGAGAAGAGTTTGCAGATAGCGGGTAGGGCGTTCGCCTTACAAGCGGCCAACATGGCCGACCCGAGTTCGATTCCTCCGCCCCTCTCGGAGAGCCCGGCAAGCTACCGAGAGTATTCGATATGCCAGACACAGTAACAACAAAGTCTCCAATGGAGACGTTACTGGGCCCGCTTGAGCAAATCGACGATCAACGGGAGGGCCTTTACCTTTACCTTACTGACAAATGGGAGTGACTGTGATGGGCGTAACCAATAAACATAAGCTCCCTGTGGCAATGTTATCCTACACTTGCTGGCATGTATAAGCCTGCAGAGCTCACCCCCGGGTATGATCACCATTGCTTTATTTCCTGTGTTTGGCCACAGGAAGTTTCAGGGATACCATGCTGTCATCTGTGTGTAACATAGCTGTCCTTGCGCTGAAAATTCATCACATTTTCCCACAAGGAGCTTCCTGGGAAGCACCATCTGTATTTTATGACAGTGAGCCCTGAAGAGCTTTTCAGGACTTAGCAGCTCCATGACAAGCATACTTTGAAAGACCACTGTCAACATATGTAATAGGTCTCTCTTTATATATATATGCAATCTATGTATACAAAAATATATGTAATATTTCTGATGGATTTTTTCTTTCACAGTGAGTCCTTGAGTTTCTTTTGGGGAGTCCAGACTAGTTGCATTCCTGTATGAATTTGCCACCCCTGCTTGTGTGGTATGCCATCCTCTGTTTCCATGTATTATCCGAGTGTGCTTTCATCCTCTACTGAGACTGTGTTAGTAGTTGCAGCAGTGTAAGTGTTTTGGATTGTCTGCCACTGCATTCGTCCTGAAGGATGATTCGTCTATGGACTGGTTCTCTCAATATGTGACTTTGCGAGTTTTCTCCCTTTTTTACTGCCTTAGAAGTGGGCCAGAGAGGAAGTCCCAGTGAGGGAGGGGAAGTGAACTGGGGAGGACCGTGTTTTCAGGGCATCCATCGATCCTGGAGAAGGCGCATTCATGACGCCATTCTAGGCACATAATCAATTTGTGTCAGAGCATTCACTGTGAGTACAAACACTTGGGAGGCCTTTATTTCTTTTCTCAGTTTACTCTGTGCCTTTTGTCAACTTTCAGTGAAATCAGACACTTTGGGTAGACTCCTGCAAGTTATGTGTGTATGTTCAAGTCTGTGGTCTGTGCATGGACATTTCTGTGGCTCTACTTGGCATTCCAGTAGTAACTGATGATCACCGCTGGTGAGTGAATGGAGGGGTGTTAGTTGGGTTCCTATTCTTACTCAGGACTGCCTCGTGGACAGTTGCACGTCTGTTATGATGTTGGCCATTGACTTGTATTGTGGACTTCCTGGAGGAGTTGGACTTTGTGTAGTTGGGGTGCTGTTGCAGTGTGTGTTTTATAACCACCAGATGGTAGTCAGGTGTTTTACGTTTCCGTTACAGTTTGGCTGTGGTCTCTCACCTGAGCGGGGACCACCCACCCATGATCACTGGGTGTGTTTCGAGGAGACTAATAAAAGACTACAAAACTTGTGCCTGGATCTTTTCATTTATTAACTTGTGTAATTAACTTTTGTAATGTTTGTTTGTGCTATTGCCCCTGTGCTGCTCCCATATATTTATGCACTGTGTTTGTGTGTGCTTCACGGTGCTGCTGCTTTTGCTGTTACGTTTTACTTCATGGCTGATATGATCCTGACTTAGTGTTTCTGAACATTGGTGTGGGTACATTAGATTAATGTTACAGTGCTTACATGAGGATGTCAAGATTGTGGTTACTGATGCTTAAAACACTCACTGAAACTGGGATCACAGGATACAGGTGAAACAGATGGTCTCGATAATTCATTGGT